GGCAAGCAACAACAGGGTGCTGTTTCCAGCCTTGGGCCTGAAAAAGCAAAGGAAAGGAAGAGTGACAGGAACCAGGAGAAAAACAGATGACTAGAGAGGGCCACCTGCTAGGAGTTATGACCTTCGGGTTAGGATGAGCAGGAAAGAAGGAACTGAGAGAAGGGGATGAATCCTCCCATCTCACACCTCTAACAAGAGAAATGCAACTAGACAGCGGGTAGCAAGGATCCTACCAATGTAGTCCACACAGGTCTGCCTCCATGGACACACGTCGAGTGGGGGGAAGGGTGGGGAATGGGTCTGGCCGGCAAACAGAACTTCTCTGCTTATGTGTAAGTTCCTAAAATGAATGTGGAGCAAATTGGAAATAATATACAAGACACATCAAACAGTGAAGTTTTCTAGAGCAAAAGGTTTAGCATGGAAGTAATGGAAGAAACAGTGGAAATGGCGGAAAGAGGCAGAAGTCACCAGTTAACTTGGTAGGTAACAGGCAACCACGGAAGGTACACGTGCAGGAGAGGAAAACATTTCCAGAACATGAGGGTCGTATACACAGTCCCATTGAAAGGAGCATCTCTGCAACTGAAGGCCAGTTGGATTATTCCAGCAGCCTGAGTATTAAGGAGGTAGAAATAAATACACAAAAATTTTCCCCTAGTATACCCCAGGTATCACAAAAGTCTTACCCATTTAATCCTTTCCATTCTAAACTGAGCCTCAGAGAAATAACTTACTGAAAGACAGACAGGAAATAGTTAACTGTTACAAGGACCACATTATTTCACTAACTTGTGCTGTCTTAACAAAAGTAGGGATTGGCGGAAGAAATAGAAATGAAGAATGGAAAAGAATCAGGCCCAGATTTCCATTCACCAGAAGATCTCAGATGAGTCACATAACTTCTTCCTGGATCAGCTTCCTGATCTGCAAACTAAGAACATCTACCAAAATTATCTCTTCTGTCTCTAAAATTCTCTTGTTGTATTCAGTTCAGTTCAGTCACTCAGTTGTGTCCAACTCTTTGCAACCCCATGGACTGCAGCACGCCAGGCCTCCCTGTCCATCACCAACTCCCAGAGTTTACTCAAACTCAAGTCCATTGAGTCGGTGATGCCATCCAACCATCTCATCCTCTGTCATCCCCTTCTCCTCCTGCCTTCAATCTTTCCCAGCATCAGGGTCTTTTCCAATGAGTCAGTTCTTCACATCAGGTGGCCAAAGTACTGGAGTTTCAGCTTCAACATCAGTCCTTCCAATGAATATTCAGGACTGATCTCCTTTAGGATGGACTGGTTGGATCTCCTTGCAGTCCAAGGGACTCTCAAGAGTCTTCTCCAACACCACAGTTCAAAAGCATCAATTTGTCGGCACTTACCTTTCTTGGTAGTCCAACTCTCACATCCATACATGACTACTAGAAAAACCATAGCTTTGACTAGACAGACCTTTGTTGGCAAAGTAATGTCTCTGTTTTTTAATAAGCTGTCTAGGTTGGTCATAGCTTTTCTTCCAAGGAGCAAGTATCTTTTAATTTCATGGCTGCAATCACCATTTGCAGTGATTTTGGAGTCCCAAAAAATAACATCTGTCACTATTTTGACTGTTTCCCCATCTATTTGCCATGAAGTGATGTGACTGGATGCCATGATCTTACTTTTCTGAATTATGAGTTTTAAGTCAGCTTTTTCCCTCTCCTCTTTCACTTTCAAGAGGCTCTTTAGTTCTTCTTCACTTTCTGACATAAGGGTGGTGTCATCTGCGTACCTGAGGTTATTGATATTTCTCCCAGCAATCCTGATTCCAGCTTGTGCTTCATCCAGTCCAGCATTTCTCATGATGTACTCTGCATTTAAGTTAAATAAGCACGGTGACAATGTACAGCCTTGATGTACTCCTTTCCCGATCTGTATTACTAAGATTTAAATCCTCAGCCTTCCCATCCTCAAACCAACCTGCCAGTGAACACCTACATCAACTCCACATCAACTTCATTTTCAACTCAACTCTTGCTGTAGACTATCAAAAACTCAACTACAATCTCTCCAATAAATCTACTTTAGCAAAACTCTTCAGTGAGAGGCTATCCCTAATTAAACCAACCTGGAAGTGATAGGCCTTCTGTGATTCTGTGATACAGAAATATATAACCATCCCTCATTCCTGGTACCAATTTCCTAAAACTCTTATTATTTCTTGAGTGACAGCAGTGGGAGGGGCATCTTTTGTTATTCATAATAAGCTCCTTTCAAGCAAATCTGAATCTGTACTAATGAGTTAACTCCTGGAGCAAAGAGGCTGGTTGGTATCAGCCCTGATGACATATGATGTGAAGTATCTTTTCACATGGTTATTTTCCACCTGTGTGTCACTGGGGACGTTTCTGATATAGTCACTGGCCCATTTCTTCATCAGGTTGTTTATTTTCCAACTGCTGGGTTTTAAGAGGTATTCTGTGTAATTAAGCTTACAGTTAATCAGGTATGTCTTTTGCAAAAGCCTATAGATCATCTTCCCATTCTCTCAATGCTATCTTTTGCAGAGCAGAAGTTTTTAATTTTATCGAGGTTCAACTCATCAATTATCTTTCACAGACAGTCCCTCTTTGGTATATCATCTAAAAAGTCATCACCACAACCATAGTCTGCTAGATTTTTCTCCTGTCTTCACTGTCATTTAGTTTTTTTAAAATATAATTTAGGGACTAGTATATGCTTGGTGGTCTTCCAAGATGGTTCAATGGTAAAGAACCTGCCTGCTAATGCAGCAGAAGTAGGTTCGAGCATTCGGTTGGGAATATTCCCTGGACAAGGACATGGCAACCCACTCCAGTGTTCTTGCCTGGGAAATCCCATGGACAGAGGAGCTTGGTGGGTTACAGTCCACAGGGTCACAAAGAGTCAGACACAGCTGAGTGACTAAACAACAACAACAGTATATGCCAGGTTCTCAAGATAAACAATAGAATCCTCAAGCATCCTGAAACACTACCTTCAGAAGCTCAACTGAACAACTGTTAAGGTAGTGATTCTCAACCAGGAGAGAGCAGAGCAGTCACAGTATAGTGTGAATGGAGTGGCAGGGGCATCGCAGCCATAATGCTTAGATTCAGATTCCAACTCCGCCATTTACTACCTGTATACCCCTGTGTCCAAACTTTCTCTTCTGAAAAATGAGGAAAACAGATGTACCCACTTCACAGCACTGTTGCAAAATACTGAAATGGCTTACTCCATGCTTAGTATAGTGCCTGTCATTCTGTAAGTGCACAATAAATGCTAGTACTTCTAAACCTTAAAAGATTGTGTTGAGGTATGGTTTGAAAAAAAGTTTCAACATTATCACTGCTACAAAGTTTTAACCCTGATACTTCATTTTATCTCAGAATTTCAAGGAAGACTAATATATAAGTCTAAAATTCTCATATTCTGTGGTCACCTAATAAATTATATAAATCTGGACCATAAAGAAGGCTGAGTGCCCAAGAATTGATGCCTTGGAATTGTGGTGCTGGAGAAGACTCTTATGAGTTCCTTGGACAGCAAGGAGATTAAACCAGTTAATCCTAAAGGCAAACAACCCTGAATATTCATTGGAAGGACTGTTGATGAAGCTGAAGCTTCAATACTTTGGCCACCTGATATAGACAGGTAACTCAGTGGAAAAGACCCTGACACTGAGAAAGATCAAAGACAAAGAAGGGGCCGGCAGAGGATGAGCTGGTTCAGTAGCATCACTGACTCAATGGAGATGAATCTGAACAACTCCAGGAGACAGTGGGGGACAGAGGAGCCTGGCATGCGGCAGTCAACGAGGTCGCAAAGAGGCAGACACAACTTAGCAACTCAACAGCAACAGTAAATTAAAGATTCAAAATTAATGAATAACAGCATGTGGGAAGGTAGTAAATACAACCCAGCAGGAAAAGTATGTGGCTAAAAATCTCAACTTTGTGGAAGTAGACTTTAAAAAAAAACCCACAAAATTTGCATTTATTAGAAAAATGGTTAAAATTTTAAGTGAGAACCTCAATTCACTTAATATTTTAACATCATATTATCAGTTTTCATTTGTACTAACAGAAGTAGACTATAAATATTTACAAATTAATCTACAGAATTAAGAATGGTTTATTCCTCAGTGGCTTCAATAAGAATCTATTTCAAAGAATACTGTAAACTAATTAGCCTCCAACTAATAAAAATAAATGGAAAAATAAATAAATAAATAAATAATAAAAATAAATAAATAAATAAATAAAAGCCAAGCAGTTTCAGCAGGAAAAAAAAAACAAAAAACAAAGAATACTGGCTAATAAAACAATCAAAGAATAATTCCATTTTCTGGTGTAACTACAAAAATTACATACAGAAGAGAAATCAAAATTGAGTACTACTTTTAACAGTACTTTCAGAGGAAATAACTACAACTAATTACATGATATAAAAACAAACAATGTCATTGTAATAAAACTGAAAAAAGAGCAAATAAAGCCAGTTCCTTATTTTAAGATTAAATCCTGTCTTCCTGATTCCAGATTCAAATTAAGTCTATTTTACACTAAAATAAAAACACGATTTATAAGCCAACCAAACACATGCCTCCCATATTGGACTGGTCAATGCATGAAGCAGGCAAGGACAAAATTTTATGATATTTGTCCAACAATAATTTTCATAAAAATTCTTAACAAGTGTTAACTAAGTATAGTACGTTCATGATATATTTCAAACATATACATTACCCCACTCATAACACCCCCTAATACTACTCCTCAGATGAAATCATTTTATGGTTTGATGAGCAGATACCAAGTGTTAACCATTTATCCATAGTTGTTCCATAGTGTTTTTTTCCCCCTTACAAACTACGAGATAGGTGACAGATAAAGTAACAGACCTGTCTCTTGATTTTTTCTATACATCATCAATTCACTTAGATCTACTTCATCTGTGATACAGTTCAAACAATACACACAGTATCTCACTTTCAACGTTTACCTTTAATTGTTTCCTCCACAACTTCTACTACACGATCTATCTGTTGAACCTAAAAAGAAAACAAACGGTCAGGCAAGCAATATACATGCAAAAGAAACATTAATGTTTGTTTATCCTTCTACTTGGGTCAAGAGAACACATTTTGAAACACATAAATGCAGGTCTTCTTTAATTAAAGCATTTGAAGATAGTATAAAAATACTCCACATTGTTTCGTGTTACAATGAAGTATGAAATTATCACTTGCCACCCTATAATTAAAGAAATCATATTACATTTAAATAAACTGCCTGGAGTTCAATTAGAATAGCCTATCAAATATAAACTCAGCACATCCTGAGATATAAAATGCAGTTTAATTAAAACATGTATCTTCACACAGAGCTTCAAGGAAAATAGCATAATATGACAACCTACAAAAAAGGACTTGCTGGTATTAAGAAGATCTACTTCAAATTTGATGCTTTATTATTTTAACACTGAAACCCCTTTTAATGAATTTCTACCATGTGCTGAGTACTCTGCTCAGGTCCATGGAATACAAAATCAAATAACGGCTCCTGCTCCAGACATCAGTGACTGAAGATTTCCCAGGGTGCCATGGGAACACAGAGGGAAGGCATTAATAATAAAAGATGTCTGAGTAATCCAGCAATGCTTAGTGGGAACCAAAGGTGACTCTTGCAGGATAAACAGGATTAAGATAGAAGCCCACTAAGGGGATTCAGAACAGTGGCTAGAGTTTGGAAGGAAAATGAAAACAGGCAAAGATTGTAGCCCAAGAAGCAAGAAGAAGGAGAGCAAGACAAGTAAGAATAGGTCATAAGCTGATATTTTTTTCTACATTTAAAATCCTCAAAATCATTATTGTTCTATTACAAAACAGAAATATTAAGGAGAAATAAAGTAATTTGTAACACTCTCCATTTTCCACTCCTTAGATGAAATCACTCAAAATAGTCTGATGAGTAGATACCAACTGTTAAACATTTATACATAGTTCTGTTCCATAGTGTTTTTTCCCCCTTACAAATTATGAGATAGATGACAGATAAATTAACAGAACTGCACCTTGATTTTTTTTTCTAGACATCATCAATACACCTAGATCTACTTCATTAATTTTTCTAGTGCATATTATCCTATATATGGATATAACATAATGTGGAAAGCGAAGAGGAACTAGAGTCTCTTGATGAGGGTGAAAGAGGAGAGTGAAAAAGCTGGCTTAAAAAGTCAACATTCAAAAAACGAAGATCATGGCATCTGGTCTCATCACTTTGTGGCCAATAGATGTCACAAAAGTGGAAACAGTAACAGATTTCATTCCCTTGGGCTCCAAAATCACTGCAAACAGTGACTGCAGCCATGAAATTAAAAGACACTTGCTCCTTGCAAGAAAAGTTATGACAAACCTAGACAGTGTACTAAAAACAGAGACATTACTTTTCCAACAAAGGTCTGTACAGTCAAAGCTATGGTTTTTGTAGTAGTCATGTACAGATGTGAGAGATGGACCATAAAGAAGGCTCAGTGCTGAAGAATTGATGCTTTTGAACTGTGGTGCTGGAGAAGACTCTAGAGAGTCCCTTGGACAGCAAGGAGATCAAACCAGTCAATCCTGAAGGCAAACAACCCTAAATGTTCATTGGAAGGACTGACGCTGAAGCTGAGGCTCCAATTACTTTGGCCACCTGATGTGAAGAGTCAACTCACTGGAAAAAACCTTGATGCTGGGCAAGAGAGAGGGTAAGAAGACAAGGGGGCAACAGAGGATGAGATGGGTGGATGGCATCACCGACTCGATGGACATGAGCTTGAGCAAACTCAGGGAGACAGTGAAGGACAAGGAAGTGTGGTGTGCTGCCATCCATGGGGTCACAAAGAGTCAGATGTGGTTTAGCAACTGGACAACAGCAACAATCCACGCATTCCCCTATTGATGAACATTTCTGTTATTCATCTTTCATTATTATACAAAAACGTCACAATAAACCCAACTGAAACAAGAACCTTTTAAAAACACTTTATTAAGTCTCTTTGAAACATTCTTCTGGCCTCGGTGCCCTATAGGAAATAAGGGAAGAGGCGTGAGAACACATTGAAGCCAGCTCCACCTGTGATCACTCAGCCTAGCATGATGGCGGTGCTAACAATAATTGCTGGGAAATTGTCAAAGGCAAAGTAAATCTCAAAGTTAGATCTTCACTCCTCAACAAACCTACCTAACTGGAGATGGATGTGTCCACCTAGAACCACTGGGACCATTGAGCTTGGTTATAAAAGAAATCCACATGGCTTCCTTATGTTAATAGACTGTGATCAAAGCTGAGATAGTAGAGTTCAAAAAGGAAGGAGTAGCCAACAGTGTCAAATGTTTCAGAGGTAACAAGTAACAGAAAGACTAAAGTGAGCATGCCTGATTTAACAATAAGGGCGTCAATTAACACAGGAGAAACAGTTCACTAATCATGAATCATAAGAAAATGGCGACAGCTAATTTAGATGATGCTTACTAAAAGCCAAGGAGAAAAAAAGAGAAAGAGGATGCCTGTAGCTAAAAAAAGATAATTGAGTATATATGTGTTAGTGTATTAATCCTTTTTTTTCCTTCTTACTCTCCTTTTTTAAAGTATACATGCTAAGTAGAGAAGGGGCACAGGGAAAAAAGAAATGGAGACAGAAGAAATAACTAACAGAGCTAGGCCCTTCAGGAGGTAGAAAGAGTAAGATCCAAAACACCAGTAGAGACACAAGCCCAGCATGGGAGAGGGGCCAAGTCATCCTCTTCGGAAACAGGGGGTTAGGAAGGAAGCATGAAAACAGATGCTATTATTCTTGTAGAAGCCAGAGAATACTAAGCAAGATTCCCATCTGTTGGCCTCAACTTCCTACATGAAATAGAAGTTCATCTGCTATGAGAGAGAAAGAATATTGTTAAATAGGAACACAGTGGATGTTTAAAATACATGTTAAAAGGTTTAGTACCTGTTAAAAGTAGTAAAGACTAGAAATACATAAAAATTGCCAAAGTACTGAGACACCAGTTGAAACACGGTATTGAGACACCATGAACTTCTAACAGGGACTCCTTGTATAGGTGTCATTTTTCTCAGGGCCCAGCAGTTCTTCTGCAGGAACTGAACAGTTAAATTAATTGATCCAAGGTTTGTTCATTCTATCATTCATTCACTCATCATTTATTGAACATCTAACATATGTGATGAACAACGAGTCCAAGCAAACTCTGGGAGACAGTGAAGGACAGGGAAGCCTGGCGTGCTGTGGTTCATGGGGTTGCAGACAACTTAATAACTGAGCAACAACAACATGTGTGAGGAAGGTTCAAAAGGCTGAGAAAAGAGCATGGAGAGACTTACAGGATGGACATGAAGGATACAGAAAAAAGGGAACGAACTATGCCTGTTGGAGAAGATGATACTTCAAGTACAGGGTGGAGAGCAGAACCAGGAAGGAGAAACAAAGTGGCTGGGCACTGGAGAAGGCAAAGAAAGAAAGGAGGACGGGTAAGAGGGAGAGAGGAGAGGGAGAGAGAAAGAAGAAAAAGAGAACAGGAGGTGATGATAGAGGACAGGTATAAGCATTTAGCATTTTTTAAGAATAGCAAGATCTTGTCATGAGAACAATTTGCTGGAAAAGGATAAAAGTGATAACCACTGGAGTTAAGAAGTAAGGAAGGTTAGAATGTTGGCAAGACATTCCATATGGACACTCAGATTGCCCACAATATTAGAAACACGGGTAGGACAAGGAAGGAAGAGTTGGTCACATTTCCCAGCCAGTGTAGGTGAACAACCGACACATCAGTTGAGGATGAAGGCAGCATAAAAGAAGCACAATATGAAATAATTCAATAATGGAACCAAAACAAAAATTCTTTCTTAGGCACTTGGAGCACAGCAGTTCAAACGGAGGACTGCACCCAATCTCACAGCTCATGGACTCAATAAGAAGCAGGATCTCTAGAGAAGAGTCAGAATAGCATGTGGAAGGAACAGCTGAAAAGTTGGAGGTAAGCTAAAACTGCAAAATTTAGAAGAAGACACAGCCATAAAGCTAAATGAACTGTGTATAAGACAATGGTTTCTTACCATTACATCAAAAGTATGAGTGACGAAAGGAAAAAAGGCAAACTGAACATGAAAATTAAAACCTCTTGGTATATCAAAAGACACTACCCAGAAAATAACAAAACATAGAAAATGGAAGAAAATTTTTGTAAATCATATACCTGAGAAGAGACTTGAATCTAGACTATATAAAGCACTATTCCAATGCAGTAAAAAGAAAAATAAGCCACTTAAAAATGGGCAAAAGATCTGAACAGACACTTCTCCAAGAAGATATACACATGGCCAATAAACACATGAAAAGACATTCAACATCATTAGCCAACCAAAGAATGCAAATCAAAACCACAATGGAGGAAGTGGAAAGTTATTGTTTAATGTGCATGGATTTTCAGTTTGGAAAGATGAAAACGTTCTGGAGATGGATGGTGGTGATGGTTACACAAAAGAGTGAATGCACTTAACACCACTGAACTACACACTTAAAATTGGTTAAAGACAGTAAATTTTATGTTATGCATATTTTATCATAATGAAATACTACTTCATACTCATTAGGATGGCTATTATAAAAAAGACAGACAGTAACAAGTGTGGGCAAGGATATGGAGAAATTGGAACCCTCATCACATGCTTCTAGTAGGAATGTAATAAAATCATGCTGCTGCTTTGGAAACCAGTCTAGCAGATCGTCAAACCACTAAACAATATGATCCAGCAATTCCAACCCTAGGTGGATATCCAAGAGAAATGAAAACATATGTCCACACAAAAAACTTGTACACAGTCACAGCATTATTCATAATATGCAAAAGGTAGAAACAACCCAACTCCCAGTTTCTGATGAACAGATAAACAAAATCTGCTATTATGCATACAACAAAGTATCATTAAACCATAAAAGGGAATGAAGTATTAATAATGTTAAAAACATTATGCTAAAGGAAAGAGGCCAGAG